CTAAAAAAAAAAAATCTTAAAATTACAAGGGATTATTTGATACCTCTAACCTTATAAGGCTGCGTATAGTGGGAGATTTGAAGAGGGAAGGGAATGAAGAGTAGAATGCAATAACGTGGAGAGAAGAGAGTTTCTTTTTGGCTTCTTGTTGGTCCAAGGGGAGTGAAGAAATGAAATTAAATTACTTTTTCTTGTTTGATTGAGGAAAACAGAATGAAAGATGAGTTGATGAGTTAATTAAAAGTACAATAATACCCTTATATATTACTGAAAATATTTTTTAAATAAAAGAACCAAATAACTCTTACGTTCTAAATTGAATAATTCTGAACTCTTGGATGGCTTATTAGTGCAGTAGTTCCAATTCAAAATTGACCCTTTTTGTTACTCAGCTAATTATTGTCTGATATCAATACTTTGTTATTTTGAAGTCTTAGCCTTAATTGTTAGATCTAATAAATTAAAACTTGAGATCTAAACCATAAAGCCATGATTAATTCAAAGAGATTTACAAGAATCAAAAGAAAAGAGCGGAAGCTTATACCTGAATCCATAGATTAAACTTGAGATGGGTTTTGAATCTTCTAACCTTAGGGTTTCTCTAGCCAAATTTCTCTCTAGATGGGGGTGAAGAGAATTAGAGAATGTAACCCTAGATTAGGGACCATAACCCCTTATTTATAGATATTGTACATTTACAATTTGGCCCATCATCAAATCACAATTACAACCTGGTATCTGCACATATAACCCCATGACTTATTTAAATACTCATTAACCCAAATTAATTGATCACTTTAGTGGGTTATCCTGAAGGATAGCAATACACACAGATTAATCATATGTGCCCACAAATAGATTTAATTAGATTTAAATCCAACAATCTCCCACTTGGGCACCATATGATTCCTTAAATTGTGTATAACCTTATGAGCTCAAAATTGCTATCACTGAAAAGGTATTTCCGAACAATCTCGTCCATTGACTATATCAATATAGGATCAAAGCGGCCTTCGTCATATTTATCGTGACTCGACCCATCAATGGTCACATATACCAATACAATCAAACGACAAAGATCAATCATGGATGTGCAGCATGAAAATTACATGCAATGTGATTAGTACATGTCTATTTTCAACTGGTCCTACTTTAGTGAGGTCAAAACCAAACATAATGTAACCGAGTGTTAGAACTGAAAAACTTTATTCTGATCAGACAATACAACCTAACATAAAGCACCATAATTACAAACTCCCACTAAATCATGATATCCTCGAATATCACCACACCCATATGAGCGGTGTGCTCATGAAATACCTTGGGTGGCAATCCCTTAGTAAGAGGATCAGCTATCATGGAGTTTGTCCCAATGTGCTCTATGGATATCTGTCCACTCTGTACCCTTTCTTTCACAACCAGGAACTTAATGTCAATATGTTTTGACTTAGTTGAGCTCCTGTTGTTATTGGAATACATTACTGCAGATTTATTGTCACAATATAACCTTAGTGGTCTTTCCATATTTTCCAAAATGTGCAGTCCCGTGACAAAATTTCGCAGCCATATTCCCTGATTGGATGTCTCATAGCAAGCTACAAATTCCGCTGCCATAGTGGAGGAAGCTACAAGTGTTTGTTTGACACTTTTCCATGATATAGCTCCTCCTGCTAATATATAAATGTAGCTTGATGTAGACTTTCTGCTATCTTGGCATCCAGCAAAATCAGAATCAGAGTACCCAATGACCTCCAGCTGTTCTGATTTTCTGTATGTGAGCATATAATCTTTTGTTTTCTGAAGATACCTCATAACTCTTTTGACTGCTATCCAATGATCCATACTAGGATTGCTTAAGTATCTGCCTAACATCCCAACAATGTACGCAATATCTGGACGCGTACATACCTGAGCATACATTAGACTTCCTACAGCCGAAGCATAAGGAATCATCTGTATTTCCTGAATTTCAAGGTTGCATTTAGGGCACTGATTGAGACTAAACTTGTCTCCTTTAGCAACAGGGGTATCTCCTGGTCTACAGTCTTGCATGCCAAACCTTTTAAGTACCTTATCGATATAGCTCTTTTGTGATAATCCAAGAATACCCCGAGAGCGATCTCGATGTATCTGGATTCCTAATATAAAAGAGGCGTCCCCAAGATCTTTCATCTCAAAATTCTTTGATAGAAATCTCTTGGTTTCGTGCAGTATGCCTATATCACTAGTGGCAAGCAATATGTCATCGACATACAGAACCAGAAAGATATACTTACTCCCACTGAACTTGTGATATACACAGTCATCAACAATGTTTATTTTAAAACCGAACGAGATAGTTATTTGTTGAAACTTATGAAGCTGCGTTGGGCAGCGGTTGATAAGCTGCGTTGGGCAGCGGTTGATAAGCTGCGTTGGACAGCGGTTGATAAGCTGCGTTGGGTAGCGGTTGATAAGCTGCGTTGGGCAGCGGTTGATAAGCTGCGTTGGACAGCGGTTGATAAGCTGCGTTGGGTAGCGGTTGATAAGCTGCGTTGGGCAGCGGTTGATAAGCTGCGTTGGACAGCGGTTGATAAGCTGCGTTGGGTAGCGGTTGATAAGCTGCGTTGGGCAGCGGTTGATAAGCTGCGTTGGGCAGCGGTTGATAAGCTGCGTTGGGCAGCGGTTGATAAGCTGCGTTGGGCAGCGGTTGATAAGCTGCGTTGGGCAGCGGTTGATAAGCTGCGTTGGGCAGCGATTGATAAGCTGCGTTGGGCAGCGATGGAGCTGCGTTCGAGCTGTGCTTGGCAGCGATTGGAGCTGCGTTCGAGCTGTGCTTGGCAGCGATTGGAGCTGCGTTCGAGCTGTGCTTGGCAGCGATTGGAGCTGCGTTCGAGCTGTTGATTGTTGTAGTATTTAGATTTCTCTGTCTTTATATATGGATGACACCAAAGACCAGTAAAGAAGGTCTTATTCAGGCCATTTGTGACAATTGAGGCATCTCAATAACGCTCTATCAACTGCAGGTCATGATCTCCACTGAGTGTGTCGAATATCATTACACTGCTCATCAGCACCTCTAATGGTTGCTAATATAATATTAGTCATGTTGTTGTCGCAGCCATCAAGATCAATCATCTCACATAAGAAGCTGCATTCGTGTTTATAGCTGTTGAAGCGGCGTAGGTGATTGAATCGGTGTAGTGTCTTGATGATGGTACGCGGGGAGGACTTCCACGTCTTGGTTTGAAGAGGTCGTTGATTTGTAATCCCTTTCTGTCAGAGTATTGCTAAAGACTGTCGTTTTGTAATCTTTGCTTTAACTCTTTGACATGTGAAAATCTTCGAATTGTAGCCTTCTGGAAGTCGTCAGATTGTAACTTCCATCATCGGTGGTTGATGGGGGATAAGCTATCTATTGTGATTTTTAGACAGCCTACAGTAACATATATTAATAATATTATTATAATAACTTATATTAATATTAATAACATATAAATTATTTAATAACATTATATATATATATAATATATTCATTATATAATTATGTATAAAATATTATTTTATAGTTATTATATATATGACATACTATTATAATATAATATAATAATTACTTTAATATTAGTAAAATAAAAATAAAGTATTATACATATAAGTACTATAGTTTGAATATAATATAATATATTAACTATAACATTGATACCTTTCAATTATAATTATTATATTATCATGTATATATATATATATATATTATATATATATATATATATATATGTTTTATTATTTTAAATTTTAATATAAAATTTTTAAAAAATATTATATTGAATAAAGTAAATATTATAATATTTTATAAAGTACATTATATCCTATGATATATATTATAATATATTAATTTATAAAATATTTTTAGTTATTATATATATGACATACTACTTATATATAATATGAATCAATTACTAATTTAGTAAAATATTAATGAATAGCTAATAATACTATAGTTTAAAATAATATAATATATTAACGTATAACTGATACCTTTCAATATACTATTATTATATATTATCATGTAATATATATATATATTATATTATATCTTATATAAAATTTTAAAAATATTATATTGAATAACGTAAAATATTATAATATTTTATTTAAAGTACATTCATTATCCTATGATACTATATTATAATATCATTAAATTAAATAATATATTATTAAGTATTATATTATATATATTATGTTCACTATATTATATCAATTTATTATTAACGTAGCTACTATATATGTGTAATTAGTATTGTATACATATTATATTTTTTTAGTAAATAAAATAATGCTATAATAAATATTATATTATAAAAATATCTATAGTAAATATATTGATATTATATATATTAATTACTTATATATAGCTAAACATACTTAATATAATATAATATAATACTAATATAATAATTAATAATACTAATTAGTAAGTATCAGTACAAACATCATTATATTTTAATAAAGTAAAATAATATTTTATTATAATAATATACGTAAAATAATATACTAAAACAATTGAGATAAGTTAATTTAGAAGTAATTAATAGATAAAATTATATTTTAATAAGGTGCCACATCATCAATTATCCCACATGTTGTTAAATCAAATGCTCAAATTATCTCATTATCCCACTTTATCCTATTTTACCCCACTCAAAAGAACCCAAATATGTAAAATTATTCCATTAGAACAATTTTTTTACTTGGTCCTAATTTGTCCCAACCAATAACCCCACTAATAAGTAAATGCATCCTTGACCTGAGATCATATGCCACGCGCGCAAGAGAGATTTCGCGGCAGAACCCCGAAAAGGCGCAGCACAAAACACGACAGCCTCGCGCGAAGCCCGAAGCCGGCTGCAAATATTCAAGAAACCGAGGAGCGCCCTGTTTCTGATATTATTTAGCATCAATAAAGCAGAAATTTCCCTTTCTTTCTTTTTTTTAAAAAAATTTAAAAAAAAAGTGGGGGAAAAGTTAGCGATGGGAGCAGGGGAGACCGGAGAGTGTTGGATTGTGGAGAGGGCGAAGGAGGAGCTCGAGATGCTTGAAGCCAAGCATCCCAATGGATTTGATCACCTCAAGCTGGAGCTCAAATCCTTCATCTTTGATGACTCCAGCTCCTTCGAGCCTCCTCATTCCTCTGCACCCACTCAGGGTACTTGCACTCTTTAGTTCCTATTTAATATAAGTTTTATTTTATTAGTTGATTTTTTTTTTTGTATTTTTTTTTCTTTCCTGGGATTACAAAATGCACACGCTTTCTAAATGAAAATAATTGACCCCTTTTTGAAGAGATTCATGACAGCTTCTTTTTCTCTCGGGTTCGTAAATTAGGAATTTAAACTCATCATTTTTTCTTATCTTATTTGATGCACTAAGTTTTTGCACCACTTCACTCATAGACTAACCAATTCATAAATTTTTACACTACTTTACGCATGGGCTAACCAGATAATACATTCAGCACGTAGCTATCAAATATCCGTAGGAATTTCTACCACTTCACTCATGGTGGCTAACTAGACTACATCACTCCTACGAGCATCCATGGATTCTCCTGACACCTTCGGGCTTCACATTGAAGATCATCTGTTTTTTTTAAATTACTTGGAGCATGATCTTAGCTATGATATCATTGTTGTTGGGGGAAAAATCGGGCCCAATCTAGAATTGATGTGTCTTAAATAGAAATTAGGAATCAATTTTAACTAAAAAACTATAGCTATCAGGTATTGACCCAAACTCCTATTTAAACTCATCACTCTTTCTTATTTTATCGGATGTGGGACTGTACTCACATATTAATCACCTCACCATTTTGATTATTATATTCATTTTTAATATTGGTGCTTGTTCTTAATTGTTATTAGCAGCATCATCGAATCGCAACAAGAGGAAGAAGAGAGAAGGAGAAGCGTGGGAGGAGACGAAGCTCCACGGCTCATCAGCGGGCAAGAAGAGGGAGGACAGGGCGGAGATGGCCATTGAAAGAGCAAAGGATTGCTTGAGGAGGATCAGACTCGTTAAAGAGAGCCTTTTTCCATTGTAATTAATTAAAGACTGCTCGGCGAGTATCGAAACTGTGGGTTGTAATCAGTCCGGATTGTTAGTTAGTAGAATTCTAATTAGAGTAGAATACTAGTTAGTAGATAGTTTTCTAGTTATTGGATAAGATTAGAGTTGTAATCTTAATCCTATATATATGTAAACAATTGATGAGTTTAGTGGAACGTGAAATAAAGAAATCAAAAAAGGTTCCTGCTCCATCTGTTCGTTCTCTCCTCTCTTTGTTTTGTTCGGTCATTAGCAAGTGCAGGTTCGGGTTTTTCTTTTGTAAACAAGTGCAGGTTTGTTTTCTTCCCTGCAGTCACTCCATCATCAATTCTTCGGCCACATCAACAGGAGCAGAGACTAAAACAATTTCCTGCAGCAAAGTCCTGTGTGTTTTGGTGTTCAGTTTCTCCAAAATCAGTGGAAGAAATCTTTGGTTACAGGTTTTCTTAACTCAGTTTTCAGGTCAGGTTTTTGGCCGATCCTGTTTACCAACCAACAAGTGGTATCAGAGCCGGTGTATGCCTAAGTATCAACCAAGATCTGAAGAGATGACGAGTACGGAGAAGATGACGACCAAGGTGGGTTCGCTCACTCTTCAATACCCGACGTTATCGAGGGACAACTATGCTTCGTGGGCGATCAAGATGAAAGTCTACATGAAGGCTCAAGACGTGTGGGATGCCATTGAGCCCGCGGCAGGCGCGTCCGTGGAACACAGGAAGGATCAGATGGCGTTGGCGGCCATCTACCAGGGGATTCCTGAAGAGACTTTGATGGTGATTGCAGAAAAGCAAACGGCAAAAGAGGCATGGGAGACGTTGAAAACAATGCATCTAGGAGCGGATCGTGTGAGGAACGCGAAGGTGCAGACCTTGAGGTCCGAGTTCGAACTTCTCCGGATGAAGGAGAATGACAACGTCGACGTTTTTTCGACGAAGTTGACAGGAGTCGTCAACAAGATCCGGGCTTTAGGCGGCGAGATGGAGGAGAACTACGTCGTCAGAAAGCTACTTCGGGCGGTACCGGAGAGATTCCTTACTATCGTCTCCACGATTGAACAGTTCGGGGACATCGACGACATGACACTCGAGGAGGCGATCGGGCGCCTCAAAGCCCACGAGGAGAGGGCACGTGTTTTTCGAAACAACGTCGACGATCACCTATTGTTGACGCATGCGGAGTGGCAAGCAAGGAGCAAGAAGAACGGCGGAGGCTTCCTCTCAACACCTACAACCAATGATGGCAGCGGTCGAGGACGAGGTCGCGGGGCCGGTCGTGGGCGTGGCCGTGGCCAAAGAGGCCGAGGCGGACAGCAGTACCACGGCAGCGGACAGCAGTACCACGGCAGCGGACAGCAGTACCACGGCAGCGGACAGCAGTACCACGGAGGCCGCGGAGGGGAGCACGGCGGCCAGGCAGGCCGAGGCGGCTTCGGCGGCAGAGGAGGACGTCCAGGAGGTGGTTTCGGCCATGGAGGTGCAGCTCGCCAGGAGGGGGAGAGTAGCACAAGCGGTGGTCGAGACAAATCCAACATCAAATGCTTCAATTGCGGAGTATACGGGCACTTTCAGTCGGAGTGTCACAAGCAACGCCGCAACAATGAACAGGAGGCTCATCTCACCCGTGCATATGACGAGGAGCCAACCTTGATGATGGCTATGTTAGAAGAATCGTCAAGTGCTATTTTGCTTAATGAGGAGAAGGTGGTGCCGGATTTACTTACAGCGGGGGAGGCACAAGTTGCCAACGACGTTTGGTACCTTGACAACGGAGCTAGCAATCACATGACCGGCCACCGAGACAAGTTCAAGGAGCTCGACGAGAACATCAAGGGAACCGTCAAGTTTGGTGATGGATCCGCGGTAGAGATCAAGGGGAAAGGCTCAATCCTCTTTCAGTGCAACAACGGCGATCAAAGGCTACTACCTGAGGTATATTATATTCCAAGTTTGAAATCTAACATTATTAGCCTTGGTCAGATGACTGAAGATGGGAGTAAGGTTGTTATTGCTGACGAGTACCTGAGGGTGTTTGATAGGAACGGTGCTCTCTTGATGAGGGTGACTCGTTCAACTAATGATGGCGAATATTAACGATCCAGCTTGGCTATGGCATGCTCGCCTTGGGCATGTAAATTTCTTCGCCCTCAAGATGATGACTGAAAAGAGGATGGCTTCCGGGTTGCCGAAGATCTTGCACCCGAACCAACTATGCGAAGGATGCCTCGTCGCTAAGCAAGCAAGACTGCCGTTCCCTTCACAAGCAAATTTCAGAGCTCAGAAGCCGCTGGAGTTACTACATGCTGATCTATGTGGCCCAATCACCCCATCTACACTTGCTGGGAACAACTACTTTCTTCTTATTGTTGATGATTTCAGCTGATGGATGTGGGTATACATGTTGAAGGCCAAGAGTCAAGCTTGTGAAACCTTCAAGAAGTTCAAAACAGAGATTGAGAACGCATGTGACCACAAGGTGAAGACATCAAGGACGGATCGTGGTGGCGAGTTCTTGTCAAAGGAGTTCACCAAGTTTTGTGAAGACTACGGCATCAAGCGTCATCTCACTGCACCGTACACCCCGCAGCAAAACGGTGTAGTGGAGAGGCGTAACCGCACGGTGATGGACATGGCGAGAAGCCTACTTAAGAGCATGCATATGCCTGGAACCATGTGGGGGTGAAGCGGTTAGACACGCGGTGTACATCCTCAACCGACTACCAATTAAGGCGTTGCACGACCACACACCCTACGAAGCTTGGTTTGGTAAGAAACCCCACCTAGAACACTTGAGAGTTTTTGGATGTATGGCGCATGTGAAGATTGCAGGTCCTTCTCACAAGAAACTCGACGATCGGAGCATGCCAATGGTGTATATTGGGGTAGAAGAAGGAAGCAAAGCACATCGCCTCTACGACCCTCAACACGGCAGAATTCATGTCAGCAGAGATGTCGCGTTCGAGGAAGGAAAAGAATGGCAATGGAGCGCACCCTGCTGACCGAACTATCCCTGCAGGAATTCATGCTGGCCGAACCAACACAATGCAGCTGGGCGCTGCTGCTGCTGGAACATCTGCTGGAACTGTTGCTGGACCACCTGCTGCAGGAACTCAAATTGTAGCGGCGCTGACCGGAGATGAGTCTGGACAGCCGGCGCACCAAGGGCGGCAGCAAACAGGTGCCCGAACCAGTCAACAGACTGCTGCAGGTCCAGGAACAGCTGCTGTGGCAGCAGATCCAGCGATGTTAGAGCTGTCCGGACCTCCTGAAGCTGCAGTGATGACTCCTGTACGCTATCGATCCCTTGCGGACATCTATGCGGAGACGGAGATGATCGATCTTCCTGCAGAGGAATTGTTCCTGATTTCTGAAGAACCTGCGAACTATCTCGAGGCCGCATCAGATCAAGAATGGCGGATAGCTATGGAGAAGGAAATGGAGGCCATCGAGAAGAACAAGACTTGGATACTCACGGAGCTACCGCGAGGTTCTAAACCCATTGGTCTCAAATGGGTGTACAAGCTGAAGAAGGACAATGAAGGCAACATTCTCAAGTACAAAGCAAGACTTGTAGCAAAAGGGTACGTCCAGCAGCAAGGCGTGGACTTCGATGAGGTGTTTGCACCTGTGGCGAGGCTTGATACCATCAGAATAATCCTCGCCATATCAGCACAGAATGGGTGGGAGGTGCACCATCTGGATGTGAAGTCGACATTCCTAAATGGTGATCTCCAGGAAGAAGTGTATGTGGTTCAACCTGAAGGGTTCGTTGTGAAGAATCAAGAGCACAAGGTCTACAAGCTTTCAAAGGCACTCTACGGTCTACGCCAAGCACCTCGGGCATGGAACACGCGCCTCGACAAGTGCATGAAGGGCATCGGATTTGCAAGATGCACTCAGGAGCAGGCGGTATACACAAGGAGTAACAGAGGGGATACACTCATTGTTGGCGTGTACGTAGATGACTTGATCGTTACGGGCTCGAGGGCGGATGAGATAAAGTTTTTCAAGCAACAAATGATGAAGGAGTTCGAGATGAGTGACCTTGGATTGCTTTCCTATTATCTTGGTATCGAGGTGGATCAGCGAGATGATTGTATTGCACTAAGGCAGGCGGCCTATGCGAAGAAAGTTTTGGGTCAGTTCGGCATGATGGATTGCAACCCGACGCAATATCCTATGGAAACAAAGCTAAAGCTTGGAAAGGATTCCGAAGGAACACTGGTGGACGTGGCGGAGTATAGACGCATTATCGGATCTTTGAGGTATCTAACTCACACCCGACCCGATATCACATATGCCGTGGGGATTGTGAGTAGGTACATGGAGCACCCTACAGTTTTGCATAGACAGGTTGTCAAGCATATTTTGAGGTACGTGAAGGGTACTATGTCCTACGGATTGGTGTACAAACGAGGTCGAGGCAATGAAGAGTTGGTGGGATTCACTGACAGTGACCTTGCGGGAGATGTTGATGATAGGCGCAGCACAGGCGGCATGGCATTTTATCTAGGTGACAGCTTGGTCACTTGGACATCACAGAAGCAGAAGACGGTGGCTTTATCATCCTGCGAGGCAGAATTTATGGCGGCAACTGCAGCAGCGTGCCAAGGCTTGTGGTTGAGGAGTTTAATCAGCGAGGTGATTGGGAGTGAGCCCAAGCCGGTCACACTCTTCGTCGACAACAAGTCAGCGATTGCCTTGATGAAGAATCCAGTTTTCCATGGAAGAAGCAAGCATATCGACACACGTTTTCACTTCTTCGTGAGTGTGTTGAGCGAGGACAGATTAAAGTGGAGTTCGTGAGCACGAGCGAGCAGCGAGCGGATATTCTCACGAAGGCACTAGCAAGGGTGAAGTTCATCGAGATGCGGGAGCTTCTAGGAGTAAGGGACTTGGAATCTCGTCCAGATTAAGGGGGAGAATGTGGGTTGTAATCAGTCCGGATTGTTAGTTAGTAGAATTCTAATTAGAGTAGAATACTAGTTAGTAGATAGTTTTCTAGTTATTGGATAAGATTAGAGTTGTAATCTTAATCCTATATATATGTAAACAATTGATGAGTTTTGTTAGAACGTGAAATAAAGAAATCAAAAAAGGTTCCTGCTCCATCTGTTCGTTCTCTCCTCTCTCTGTTTTGTTCGGTCATTAGCAAGTGCAGGTTCGGGTTTTTCTTTTGTAAACAAGTGCAGGTTTGTTTTCTTCCCTGTAGTCACTCCATCATCAATTCTTCGGCCACATCAACAGGAGCAGAGACTAAAACAATTTCCTGCAGCAAAGTCCTGTGTGTTTTGGTGTTCAGTTTCTCCAAAATCAGTGGAAGAAATCTTTGGTTACAGGTTTTCTTAACTCAGTTTTCAGGTCAGGTTTTTGGCCGATCCTGTTTACCAACCAACAAGTGGTATCAGAGCCGGTGTATGCCTAAGTATCAACCAAGATCTGAAGAGATGACGAGTACGGAGAAGATGACGACCAAGGTGGGTTCGCTCACTCTTCAATACCCGACGTTATCGAGGGACAACTATGCTTCGTGGGCGATCAAGATGAAAGTCTACATGAAGGCTCAAGACGTGTGGGATGCCATTGAGCCCGCGGCAGGCGCGTCCGTGGAACACAGGAAGGATCAGATGGCGTTGGCGGCCATCTACCAGGGGATTCCTGAAGAGACTTTGATGGTGATCGCAGAGAAGCAAACGGCAAAAGAGGCATGGGAGACGTTGAAAACTATGCACCTAGGAGCAGATCGTGTGAGGAACGCGAAGGTGCAGACCTTGAAGTCCGAGTTCGAACTTCTCCGGATGAAGGAGAATTTTTCTAGTTATTGGATAAGATTAGAGTTGTAATCTTAATCCTATATATATGTAAACAATTGATGAGTTTAGTAGAACGTGAAATAAAGAAATCAAAAAAGGTTCCTGCTCCATCTGTTCGTTCTCTCCTCTCTCTGTTTTGTTCGGTCATTAGCAAGTGCAGGTTCGGGTTTTTCTTTTGTAAACAAGTGCAGGTTTGTTTTCTTCCCTGTAGTCACTCCATCATCAATTCTTCGGCCACATCAACAGGAGCAGAGACTAAAACAATTTCCTGCAGCAAAGTCCTGTGTGTTTTGGTGTTCAGTTTCTCCAAAATCAGTGGAAGAAATCTTTGGTTACAGGTTTTCTTAACTCAGTTTTCAGGTCAGGTTTTTGGCCGATCCTGTTTACCAACCAACAGAAACCACCCCTAATAGTTTTTTTGGCCATGAAGATGACTTCGCCTTTGTGGAATACGTGACGGTGCTCTTTGTCCATGAAGGTTAATTTTGTCCACACAATTTTTCTTCAGGGGACAAATATCTATTTATATCAAGAAGTAAAAAAAATATATATATATAATATTTATAAAAATAGTGTTACACGATGTGAAATGTGGAATCGGTCGGTGGTCGGATACTCTTTACGAGCTTATTGCATCCTATTTTGCTTCTAATGTGATGGAGTAAACGTACGTGATGAATTTGAGTTTTTGCGTTATGTATTTTTTGGGCTTAAATCGTATGATGCATAATCCAACGCGGATATCAAGGTTAGCAACTGCAGTGGGCGAGCCGAGCACGCCGGCGTTACCGTGCATTACCTCGAGACGGCCGTAGGTCGCCACGGCGCAATCTACGGTGTCCTCAAACCTGTTTCTCTCCAGTGACGACGCAAGGACGGTAACTACACCTGCTGTGACCGATTGAGCTAGGAAGCGATCTTGAGGCCTAGTTGGTCTTGGATATCGGCGATGACGACGTTGGCGGCGAACAGCCTGGCCGCGGCGGCACCAATGCCGCTGGAAGCCCCGGTGATGATTGCCACCTTACCCTTCAAACTGACCGATCAAAGTTAATATTGGTAGGCATCACAAGATATTATTCACCTATTGATTGACAGAGGGGTACTTACCTTAGCTTGATCATAGGATAATGTTATGAAGAAGATACAAGGCAAAACATGTACAATAATATGTATGTATGTATGTATGCGTGTAATGTATGTATGTATCAAATTTATTTGTTTTTTTTTTTTTTTTTGCTACAAGTCCCTTAGATTTCTAAACTTTGGAAGTAGTCGCTCAAACAGATGAAATCGTTATTAGGGCCTCCAATTCTTACAAGTTGTTTTTCAATATACTCCCCTCCGTTCAAGATCAGCAGTTATCGACAGCGATTTGAATGACTAATTTCAAAAATACGAAAATAGCTTAGAAAATCAAGATTTAAGAGGGTCTGTAAGTGTAAAAAATAAATAAATTTATTTTTTTAGAAATTTAGGTTGCAAATTAGTCCGTGAAAAGAAGCCCATTTTCCTCTGGCCCCCAAAGCTGTGGGCTTTTTCGCCCCCAAATGAAATGGGCTGGTGCTCTCCCTCCTCTCCCAAGCAAGCGGCCACAACCCTCCTCCTCTTCATCGCCGGCGGCCTCCGCAGCTTCGGCCCGCCCGGGGCCCACCTCTCCCACACACACGTCGAGCCCAAGCGGGCCCGCACCCTGGCCCGCGACGAGCTCCTCCGCGACATCTCCCGCAAAAGTACGGCTACGATTTCCAAACGCCTAAGTCCCCATAAAGCCCTCGCGATTCCTAGGTATGCAACGCATCCCCCGCTTTTGGGCTTCAGATGAATCTTTATTAGGGTTCTGAAATTGTTCCCGTTGTAATTGATGAATCTAGGTTTATATTTCCCTACATGTTATAATTTTCAAAAGCGCGACGCTGTTTTTGAATTTTATTCCAAAAAAAATCTATTTCGAACTTAATTTCAAAAACCAATACAGTTTGAAAAAAAAAATTCCCACACTGCACTGGAGTTCGAGTTCTAAGTCTCGTGAAGTTTTTTAAGTTTTTTAATATTAAAAAATTTCACGAGATTTTTAACTCCCGTGAAGTTTGAGAATTTTTTTTCTTCAAAAACCGATCCAGTTTCAGCCTAACTGGGTCGGTTTTGAAAATTAAGTTTGAAACGAGTCTTTTTTTAGGAATTTTTTAGCAAACAAGTTGGTTTTAAAAATTTGTCCTTTATAAATTTATGAAAGAGAGGTAAAATTATATATAATATATATAATTTAACACACACACACTCTCTATTTACATGGGGAATTTACATTTGAATCATTTGAAAGCCTTTTTTCTTTACATCAAATTTGCATGACAATAAACCATTATACGAAACAATCAACAAATAAATTTATAAATGGGCAGGTTGCGTGCTCCGTAGCAAGGGAGGGCCTTCAGAGCTTCGGAGATGAAGGCCGTGGCGAGAGCGGACAATGAGGGCACAATGAGGTGCGGGGCTCTGTTCAAGGTCGACATCTACGCGAAGATCGGCACCCTGAAGCTCGGCCGACTGAGAGGATTGTCATTGATCAGGCTAGTGTTTTCTTTATTTTTTGTTTTAAATGTATTGTTTTCATTCTAGCGTGTTCGAACATGTTTTTTTGATGTTATGGCAATTAACTCAGAACAGGAGCAATTATTTGGAACCGTTTACGCATCAGTTTTTCTATAAACATAGCTTGTCCGATTATTGTTGAATCTTCATGTTGTAGCAGTAGTACATTTAGATATTGAGTATTCGTGTCATAGGAGGGGATTCCATCATATACTATGATGTGGATCAATCTCAACCAAATGAATCAAGGGGGGTGAGACACCATCATAGCCACGCGTGGTTGAGATCGCGCACCAACGTCGTATACGAGAGAGAATCCTCTCATACTATAGCTATATACCGGTGTTTGTGTTGGATTCGAGTGCAGCCATTGGGCTAGTCTCCTTATTATATATATATCATCTGAAGTTTCAGACATATTTCATTTGACTATTACACAATTATTCCAACAAAAACCATCGGAACAATTGGAGACTGCATGTATGCATTCCGTTCTGGCAAAATAGTTAGGTGCTTTAGGCATTTTCCTACACCCTTGAATGGACTGAAGGCTTTGCCCATGGAATTCGTATTCCGTTTAGGAAAGCACGTAACAGCTAACTTGGCACACTTCTTACCACGGTTGTTCTTGTTTCCTTTCGTAAATTTTTGCTCAGCCCTTTCGGCATCAGTTGGAGAAGAAGAAATGAGATCAGTGACATCATGTGGTTTCTCGGAAGTAGCCATAGAGTTCCTTTCGAGGTTAGCTCAGTTTCATGGTATTGGGAGGGGGTTTGAGTTACGTATGGGAGATCTATTGTGTTCGTATGTATGGAACCCTGGTAGCATGAATCCTGTGAGGGGTGTTTGTTCGCAACAGAAGTCCATAATATCAGCAAAAACGAAGCGTGCATGAGAGGAGTAACACTACCGCCTTTTTCATGCTTCACCGAAAGCATGTGTATGTGTTTGTACTAGGATTATGTTATACTAGTTTGTTCCCTGTGCAATGCACGGAATCAGCTGAATGGTTGTGGGATTGGGAAAGATAAGAGGAGAGAGCGAGAAGGTAAAGTGACATAATTATGAGACAATCGTTAGATTTTGATAATTTGATGCGGGATGATGATGCAACACATAGGAAAACATGTACATCACACTGGAAAACTGAAGAAACAATTTTAATAAAAATATTTCAGGAATAATAATTGTCTATAACTCTCCATATTAGGACGTGGATGCAAGTAACAATGTTTTTCTTTTGTTACATATTTAACAAGAAGAAGTCATAAGCTTAACAGTATCAAGTTATTTTGGAATATTACTGCTTTTGTGATGCTGTAAATGTTGGAGAGTATAATTTCGTACACACAGTTTAGTTTGCACTTGAATTCAGCCAATTTTTTTTTTACTGTTTTGTATTCCATGTACCAAACTTCACAGTCAAGAATGACGGCACCGTCTGTCACATAGGAGGAGAAGGCACAAAGATACAATGCCAAGAAGCAAATTTCTTCTTAGAGGGAATAATGAAACATTTTGCAACTTTTCATGGTCCAACAAAAAAAAAAAAAAAAGAAAAGAAAAAAGATCGGGGGGATGGAACAAACAAACAGAGGCCAAAACTATTGACACAAAATTAACACCAAAAAAGTTGGGGTGGTTCACTGAATCTGCTCCCTGAACACCCTCAACATATCCTGAAACGTGACAATCCCAACAAGCCCGAACTCCTCTTCATCATCAACAACCCACACATAGTTCACTCTATGCGCCAGCGCCTGCACCATCACCGCCACCAGCGAGCTCTCCTCATAACACACAGCCACCTCCTCCGACCTCCTCCCCATGTAGCTCCCTGACCTCATCCTTCTCGGCTTCCTCGATTTCTTGACCGACTCGTCGTCATCCGACGATGACGGAGACATTGGAAACGTAACTTCATTTCCCTCCAAGAACCCCAACATTCCTGTTAGCCCCTCCTCCTGCAGTCTGGCCTTGACGCGCTGCAGGGCAGGCTCTGACGCTGACCTGTGGCTGCAGCAGTCGTCGATGTAGGCCATGAGCTCGGCAACGGAGAGAGATGCCACGGCGGGGGCGACCGTGTCGTCAGAAAACAGGCCGGAGAGGATCGACGGGGGGATGTCGCCGATGAGTTTCCTGTCGTCGGTGACGACGCGACGGAGCCTGCCGTCAAGGAGGGCGAGCGGAGGAGGGGGAGGGCGAGGTCGCCGGAGCGACGTGGTGGATGGAGAGGACGTCGGCGCAGCGAGGCGGCGTCGGCGACGGAGAGGGGGCGATGGAGGAGAAGAGGAAATGTTGTTGAGGAAGAAACGGAGCAGGTCCTCTTGCGTTAGCCAGCTGAATTCTTGATGCTTTTGCTTCTGGAAGGCAAAAGAGGCGTCGATAGTGAAGCATGGAGGCCTGCACATTCTCATCAAGAATGACGTCCAGAACATCCAATATACTGCAAAAAGAAAAACAAAATCACAATAGTTAACAGAAATTCTACAAAATTCACTGTAGAGTATTTTAAAGGAAATGTTAAGCTATTTTCATTAGAGAAAATGCTAAAGATTTTGCAGACTCTTTAAGTTTGTGACGAGTTTATAGCAGTTTCCTGCAAAAAAATTCTAAATAATCCACGATAATTATGTAAAATTCATACCTCGAATCTGGATCGATGGCTCTAACGACTCCATCGCCTTTCGACAGGAGAACTGAAACGGGGTTCTGAAGAGCAGAAACAGGGCACTTGATGTTCTGCTGAGAACATAAATAGCATAACACATCAACCATACAAATATCTCCTACGATGCCTCCTGCCTTGTCCTTGCTCTTCTTCTCACCTAACGCGACTCCAAGCTTAGCCTCTCCCCATTCCCTCAGCGCCACCAACGCTTCGCCGACGCTCGCGGTGATCGGTATCGATCTCAGCGATGGTTTTCCGATGCAGAGATCAGAAGCCACATTAGACTGCAAGCAAACTGCCATGCGCTGGAAAATTTACCTTTGGATAGATTCAGAAGAGGGAAGGGAGAAAGAGAGGAAGAGTTTGGTGAGAGAGGGTAGAGGGGAGCGTGACCGGTATTTATAGAGGAAAGTGGACAGGATACTGAGAATATCTTTATAGGAATGTGCCAATTTTGCACATTTTTAAATTTATCGATTAAGCCATGCTGCTTTTGTACTTAAATATTGATCTGAGTATTATTGATATGTACATGCTTCGGATCAATTTTTAATTGTGAGCTTATGCGGGAAGTGAGAAGTATAAATACATATATATATAGATAGCAAGTTTTAGTGCTATAGTCCTTTATGGGGAAAATTATGCCCCTTGAATATATTTTTTTTGACCAATGAAGTCTAAAATTGCCCCTGTTTTTTGGATTAATGTCTTTCTTTTGTGTTTGTGTTAAGTATAGTAGTAGGGTTGCAAAACCGTATCCATATCCGAGGATTTATCTGTATCCGTGTATTGTTAGGATGCGGATATGGTTACTAATATCTATATCCGATAGAATATGGTTATAAATACGGATATGTAGTGAAATATCCAGATCCGTATGACGGAATATCTGAATATATGTTGGTCCTACAATTGCAATTGTTTCAATCCTTGGATTAATGGATTTGAGGTTAATTTCGATGCTCAAGAGATCTAATATTAGCTTTTTTCCAATAACAAACACATTAATCAACTCTCTTACATCATATGAACTATGTTCTTTACAATATATTGTGTGGTTTTCTCATATCCGTTTTGTATCTAGATGTGTATCCGCATCTATATCTGTATATGTATCCGATTTTAGCGGATATTGCTACGAGTTTTTCTTACAAAAAACATATCCTTATCGGCGATTGGTAAGCGGATATAGATATGATAAGCATCGTATTCACACAGTATCCAAACCGTTTGCTCCCCTGTGTTGTTCCACTTAAATCCATATTGGTCCATTAATTGACCACAAAACAAAGACGTTTTGTTTTATCTAGCTTCAACTGTGGACTCACGAGAAAACTTTGACTTGCTCTCTCTCCCTCTAAAAGATGATACGATAGACCAGCGCGCCTTTCAGCGACCCAAAAGCTCACGTACTTATATCAACTCTTAATGTCCTCATATATATATAAATTATAGTATAAAATAGGAATTACAATATTAATATATATATATATGTAATACTATATATATAACCAAATAATATATAATATACTATAGTAATATATATAATATCATATCATCATGAGCTGGAATTATTCATAATAATATATTAATATATAGGATATATGAGCCTGGAATTATTCTATCTGGTCGGCCACTTCAGGCTCCCGTGCGATTTCTATGATACCGTTTCGGTTCAGAATAGAACGCAGCGAGTCTTGCCTAAAACTAAGAGACGGCACAATTGCTGAATTGCGAATCAATCCAAGTGGTTCCATGAGAATTGATAAAGCTATTGGATATCTAACAGGGAGGTGGGGGGGGGGGGGGGGTGGGGGGGGGGGGCTGGGGGGGTGGGGGGTCGGGCGGGCATGGCGGGGTCCGGGTATATTGCCGGGGGTTCAAGCAGCGAGAGAATCCAAAAACATATTAATCTCTCTAGGTCTCGTTTGGTACAAAAGCTTAAACTTGAGTTATTATAAGTTGTCATAAATTTATTTATGAGCAGACCCTTAACTGCTTAAATACTTTTACCTCTTTATGTTTCCATTATAGATTTTTCTCATTGCGAGGAGTGATACTAGCAAGTTATAACCAATGGTTATTCGCTTCATTAATTGTCATTTTGACTAAGAATGTTCAATATATAATTATATAATATAGTATATATATAATTACATATATATATAATATATATATATACTATATATAGTATATATAGTTATATAGAATGGCATATGCTGAACAAGGATCATCCATAAAGACCTTTTAGAACGAACATCGAGCCATGGTTAAAAATGTGTGGCGATTTGACTGATGAAGGCTGCTATATCAAAACATAATATGCCCGTTTCAAAAAAATAAAGAAATAAAAACATAAAATTAAAAAAACTCTCAAGTAAGATTGCTCTATGGAGTGCTCGAGTTGAGGCAAATCAGCAAAAACCCTCACTTCTATTTCAACGAACAATAATAAGATACTAAACTTCAACTTGAATGGAATCACGTAGTTTGTAAACGGCCCCAATTAGGTAAATGTAAACCTATGCTATCTATGCGAGAATTTAAGTATAGGTATGTATAATTTATACTTAAGATATAATGAGTATAAATTATGTATATAATATTAATTAGTATACTACCTTAATAAAATATACTTATACTCATATATATCAATAGATATATATAATATATATGATATATTATGATATATTATAATATCAAAGATAATATATATAGATATATATATAGAATAAAGAAACGGAGCGAAGCCTGGCAGCGTAGGTAATTTCCTACCTGCACGAGGTCGGAATTACCCCCTACTACGTCACATCGTGTGGTTGGTCAACATGTCAATACACTTGCGACCGTAGTAAATTTTCCATACGCTGCCAGTTCACCTCACAGTTTCACACTTTCTTCACTATCTAATATAATATATATAATATATATATATATATAATAAGTAATACTTATATAATAGATATATTATTATATATAATAATATAATATACTATATAGAGAGAGAGAGAGAGAGAGAGAGAAATATGGGTATACTTGGCACCAAGCACAAATTTTGTGCTTGGTAGTGAGGTGACACAATTCTCTCCATTCATTCAAATGGGGGACCACATTCACATGAGCTGAGGAGTGCATGTGTTGGATAGCAGATTCCTAATCTATTTTGGTAACATGAGGTTATTAGGATTCCTAATCTATTTTGGTAATATGTTATTAGGATTCCTAATTTGATTTGGCTTTTGGTTTAGAATTCCTAGTATGGTTAGAGTTATATTTGAGTGATTTTGTGAGTTGTAATCCTTTGTATTTCTCCTCCATATAGTGAAATCTTCTCATCCTCTCCCCGTGGACGTAGGCAATTGCCGAACCACGTATATCTCTGTGTTTGGTTTGATTTGTCGTAATTGGCTTGGTTTGTGCAAGTGTGTGGCTTTCTTCTTCCGTGATCTCAAGTTCGTTGTGTGTGCGTGCAACGCTTCCGCATAGGCGCGCGACAAGTGGTATCAGAGCTCAGATTTCAGATCTAGGGTTTTGGATTAGGTGGAGGAAGATTCAGTTGGAAGCTTGGTTCTTGGAGTTCTAGGCTTTGGTGGAGTTAGGGTTTGAAGTTACCGTTGAAGATCTCGCTTTCCTCGTGTGGTTAAGAGTTCTATTTGGAATCCAATCTAGGGTTCAGTTGGGTAATTTCTTATTCCTTTCAAAGTTTGAATCTTTCATTGTAATTTGGAATTTGTGATTATGGGTGAAGAAGTTAGTGAAAGCAGCAAGATGATCGGCACAGTTCAAGTGGTTTGTGATTATGGGTGAAGAAGTTAGTGAAAGCAGCAAGATGATCGGCACAGTTCAAGTGGGTTTTCAGAACACTAAGATTAGTGTAGTGAAATATGACGGCAAAATCAATTTTGGTTTGTGGATGAGCGACGTACAGGATGCGCTCAATGCTCAAAATTTGGAGGAGACCATCACGGTCGATGTGAGGCCACCTAAATATGAAGAGTCGGTATGAGAAAAGATGAATAGGAACGCTTATGGGGTGATCAGGTCCTGTTTGGAACAGGAGCTGAAGTATGATGTGATTGGGGTAACGTCTGCGATGAAGATGTGGGAAATTCTCAACAATAAGTATCTTACGAAGAGTGTTGAGAACAGGTTGCATTTGCTGCGTAGGTTATTCAGATTCCAGATGTCCCGAGGCACATCGCTTGCGGCTCATGTGAACAACTACACTAAATTGTTGTCGGACTTGGCGAACGTGGATGAGAAGATCACGGATGAGTACAAGGCTATTATTCTTTTGGGCTCCTTACCGGATGAGGAGTATGATACCTTCGTGCTTACGTTGCTGAACGGGAGATCTTCTATCACTTATAGTGAAGTGACTAACGCATTGATGAACTACGATTTAAGGAGGAAGGATAATGAGACTTCCCGCGCTAGTACTTCATGAGATGCCTTGTCGACGAGAGGTAGAAGCCCATATCCGAAAGGTGGTAATAGAGGAAGGTCAAAGTCAAGAAGCCGCCACCAATTAGCAAAGAACCAATGTGTATTCTGCAAGGAACATGGACATTGGAAGAGAGACTGTCCGAAGCTCAAGGAAATGAGGTGAATGTTGCGAAAGGCGATGATTCCGATGATTCGAGCTTTTCTCTTTTGATTACTCCGGAGGTGAACCATTTGGATGCATCGGATTGGATGATTGATTCTGGCGCTACTTATCATGTGACTCCTAGGCGAGATTGGTTTTCATCATTTGAGAGACTCGACGGGGGTGTTGTTGTCATGGGAAATGATCAATCATGTGGCATTTGTGGGATAGGTACTGTGAGGATTCGGATGCACGATGGAGTAGTCCGTGAGTTGAAGGAGGTGAGATTCGTTCCTCAACTGAAGAAGAATCTTATCTCAGTTGGAGCTTTGGAGGCGAAGAGATTCATGGTGACCTTTGAGGATGCTGTAGCGAAGGTTACTAAGGGATCTTTGGTGGTGATGAAGGGAGTCCGCAGTCATAATTTATACTATCTGAAGGGGAGCACCGAGATTGGCCAGGTTGCTTCGGCTATTTCAGAGGCGGACATGAGCAGACTTTGGCATTACAGGCTAGAGCACACAGGTAAAAAGTCACTGCAGGCATTTGCAAGCAGGGGCTACTGAAGGGAGCCAAGAGTGGTAAAGTAGAATTCTGTGAGCACTGTGTACTTGGCAAGAAGACAAATGTGAAGTTCGGGACGGCCATTCATAGGACGAGGGGCATCTTGGACTACGTGCACACAGATGTTTGGGGTCCCACCAAGACGGCATCACTTGGTGGTCGACATTGGTTCGTTACGTTCGTTGATGACTATTCTAGGCGATGTTGGGTGTACACCATGAAGCATAAGAGTGAAGTCCTAGATTTGTTTGTGGAGTGGAAGAAGAGATTACAACTGCAGACTGAGAGAAAGATCAAGACGTTACGATCCGATAACGGCGGCGAGTATACTTCAGACCCCTTTTAGCAGCTATGTCGAGATGAGGGCATAGAGATGCACTTCACAGTTAGTCATACACCGCAGCAGAATGGGGTGGCGGAGAGGTTAAATCGATCTTTGCTGGAGAAGATTCGATGTTTATTGGCGCATAGTGGTTTG